AATAATAATAATAATAATAATAATAATAATAATAATAATAATAATAATAATAATAATAATAATAATAATAATAATAATAATAATAATAATAATAATAATAATAATAATAATAATAATAATAATAATAATAATAATAATAATAATAATAATAATAATAATAATAATAATAATAATAATAATAATAATAATAATAATAATAATAATAATAATAATAATAATAATAATAATAATAATAATAATAATAATAATAATAATAATAATAATAATAATAATAATAATAATAATAATAATAATAATAATAATAATAATAATAATAATAATAATAATAATAATAATAACGACAACAACAACAATAACAATAACAACAACAATTAAATGTATTTTACATTTTTATTTAAGTGTATATTTATTTAAGTGTATAATGTATTTCTATCCTGAAACCACTTTTTATGCTCATTGGTTTAATTATGTGGCCGTTTGTTCCTTTTTTCACACCACACACAGATGATTAAAGTGGTAGGAAAAGCCCCCGCCCAACTCTGTGTTGGCTGTCTCTAGCAAGCACATCCTTCCCAGCACCACTCGGGCAGCCATTAATGATGAATAAATCATCTGCAAGCTAACAAAGCTTGAGATTGGGAGTTTGATTCCCCAGTGTGCCTACTTGACAGGGGCTGGACTTGATGACCGATACAGTCCCTTCCAGTTATGCAGTTCGATGATGATGATGATGATGATGATGATGATGATGATCTGTTTCAGAATACATAGGTGTCTTCGGTAGAATTATGGCGATTTTCACAACTCCATTTCTATAGCAACGTAGCACCTATTAAAAATATATTAGTCTTATGTCATCTACAGTGTTATTTTCATCTTATTTTTACTGTTTAATATTTAACGTGTTCTTTCTAATAGGTCTGTCAGTACCATTGCAGCCACAGATGGTGGCATATGCCTGCTATTTGCCACTTTATGTATCTGAAAATAAAATCTTCACATTAGGGAAAATGGTAATAATTTATATAATTTGTCTTTGCAGAAATATATGTATCAGTTCAGAAAGGGGCCTCTTTTTAGGCAGGTTTTCTGGGTTCTTAAATAGCAAAAACGAAAGTACTTCCAAACACTTTGACCTGTAAAAGTGAAATATATACAGTATTTTATAGATGTTACATTTGCCAGTGTTGTACAATGATACTGTATAGGTGTACCTGGGAGGCCATTATTTATAGCTTTCCTCTTTGATAAGGACTTCTCTCCAGTATTACTGGTAGCTTTTCATATTGGAACTTGTCACACTCAGAATGTCCATCATAGTAATACCATGGTGTAATTAACAACCATGTCTACTGAACATCTTTGGCATAAATTTCAACTAAAATGTGTTATTTACAACTCAGAACTGGAGCTTGGTATAGCTTTTGCAAGATTGTACATTTGGCCCCATGTGACTCTGTCCTGCTTCTTTGCTGTATACTGTCATCCTAATTCTTAAAAGATAGGACCCATCCAGTGAATTTTAGGATTATGGGTAGACCTTGTTCTGAGCGTGGACACAGCACCATGGCTCTAATAGTAAGAACTTGATTCTATTCTTTCATTTTAGGGAGCAGAGGATGGGACTGGTTTGTTGAAATGCAATGAAATGTTAGAAATGTACAAGAAATCACAATCCTTTCTCTCAATATTTTTCAAAGAAGAAAATCTTGTTTGTGTATTTTATAGGCGGACTCTTCTGAACAATTAAGGCAGTATGGTCTTTCCCACATATACAGCCATCCTGCACTGCTAACCAGAACAAGATCATGTCCCCTCATACCTCCTCCAAAACCACCACTTGTACCCCGTTGGAAACTTATCCGCCAAAAAAAGGAAACTATTGTGACAGATGAACCCCAAGGTTTGTCTTCTTAGCCTTTCAAGTATATTTTAGCAAAGGGTAAAACAAGAGTTAATATTTGTATTTGTCTATATCGATTTCACAGAGTGCTGTTTTGAGCATCAATGATTCTACAGGAAATGAAGAATAGCTTTTACTATATGATATCAAGAGTCTAATGCTAGTGATGAAATGGGTACTCTTTTGTGCTTCTTAATAAATGAGTCTATTATTTTCTATGACCATGTTTTCAAAACAAGATTCATTAAGTTTCTCAAGAAACAAGACCTACAGTAATTGAAATATATTTATAGTGTGGGTCACATAAATACCTAAATAGTTTAAGAGTAAGATATTTGAACTGCCTTCTCTGGTACATCCCTGCTCCTTTGTTTAGGTAAACTTTGGAACAGAGATGCATATCTGGGCTTATTTTATTCTCATGGGCTAGAATGAATATATTAAGTTTCTTCCCTGGTGGGTGAAATTATGTTAGTTTTGTATGCAGTTTGCGTTTTGGCAGTTTTTTGCCAAAAAGGAGGGAGGAAGAAGAAGCTACAGATGTGTGTGTGTGCAAAAAAACTGTTTCATATGAAAAATTGTTTCTTCCCAACACATAGACTAAACGGGACTCACAACAAAACTTTAACAAAGAGACAGAAACACACACAAAAAATAGTTTTATAGCAAAATAAAATATAGTGCTAAATTACAAACGAAATAAATACTTTTTAAAGCACACTGATTTAAAAAAAAAATTGCACACTCATTTCTTGTGTTGTGTCAGCAACCAGTTACCAAAAGCCCACTTGAGTAAAAAGGTCCTTGGCAATCGTTGTAATATGGGTTTGTTGAGGGAACTAATCTGTTGTGTTAGCATTTTCCTACTCCAACCCTTGAATAATATGATACAGCCTTGACTGACTTTGAAGGATTGTTTGTGACAATAACTGAGAAAAATTATAGGGATCCCTTTGAACACTCTTGACAATATACAAATACATTTTTATAGTATTGAAAAATAATAATAACTGGGTATCTTATACCATGGAGGTGGGACCTCTAGTACAAAGAAAGGGATAAGGCCAGCAGTAATTAATGGTACTAGTCATTTTACTAATGTATTCTAGCAGAATTGCAATTCTTTGACTGAAGAGTGTCATGTATACATGTCTAATGTGCAATTCCTATGTTATATTTCTTGAGGTATTCCGTACATGTATCAAGGAGTTGCACAATGCTTGCAATGGGAAGGAATTTTTCCCTTAAAGAAGGAAAACTATCCTATGAAATGAGGGTAGCGCTGGAAGTCAGCTCTGTTCAATATTTGATACTTGGCAAGGGCCCAACAAAGTTTGGGTAGAAAGAAATTAGAATGCCGCATCTGCCGGCCTTCTCACCTTAGAAACTCTACCCTTAACAAAAGAAAATACAAAATTCTGGTGCATAAAATTTCTGCCCATTTTTTAAAAAAATGTAGAAGGGGATTCTCCAAGTCATTTTTTGGGAACTATTGTTCACAGTGAAGCCAAGTATATTCACCTCAAAATTCTCTCTGTATAGTAATAACTAGTTCTACTACTTTTAGGATTTTATTAGATTAAATACAAATTGTGACAGGTAGCAGGTCAGGTGCAATTTTAAATTCAGATAACATTATTTTCTAGTAGTGTCATATAATAGTACTTGTAAAGGCAAACCTGAAATTTGGACACTGATTGAAATGAATGACTTGACTGTGGAGTCAGGGATTGGAAAGTGAGTTCCACATAGTGTCTTATAGGAGAACAGACAGCTTGTGTGATCTTCAGAGATGCACCGTCCCAGGACACACACACCCCAAGAAGAAGGGAATGGTAAACCACTTGTGAGTGCTCACTGGCACATTCACTTTTTATAGAAATACGGTATATGCCCTCTTTTGATGATTTCCTCTGGCTGCCCTTGGGTCAGCAGCACAAGAACATACTCCCTAGCTATTACAATACTGTATATGACAAGTTGATTTGTGGGGGCAGGGGAAAGTAAATCTCAAAGTACAGATTTTCTTTTCTCTTTTTGATAACAGAAGAAAAGAGGAGAAAGGGGAAGACAAAATATTGTAGCACTTTAAAGATGAATAATCTTATTTCTGTGTGAGCTTTCATGGACCAAAGTCCACTTCCTCAAGCACAGGAAAGCAAGTACACATCCAGTGCATTTATACATATCCCCATGACCAGCTGAGGATACAGAAAGTACTAGACAAAATGACAATGGTTTGTTAACAAAGTGGGACTATCAAGCTGGAAATCACTTCTGTTGGCTTGTTGTGGGCAGGGCAATAGCTTTAAGCCAGGTGGACTTGGCTGTCATAGGAATGCTATGAGATGTTACTGGGGCAGAAGGCCTGGACCTGTCAAGTGTGACAACTGTTTTATCACCACAAGATATTGAAGTGCTACAATATTTTGTGCTCCTCATCCTCACTTCTCACCCTTCCCCCCTCTTCTTTTGCCAACATGCTGTGACAGACTAACACAGCTCTTCTTTCATTCTATTTCAGAACCTGTGATCAAAAAGCCAGAGCAATTTATTGAGCTTTCTAGTCCTTTTCTGAACTTTAGGCTTTCCCCAGTACCTATACCAAGTGATACGTAAGTAGATCAATCAGTGGGTTTCACTAAATTTAATGTGCATTCCACTGTGACAACATGTACAATAAAAGTAACTCGGGGGAAAAATGGGCAAAATCCTGTTGGACTAAATTTATGCTGGCATAAACTGGATGCAGGTGTTGGAAATATTGTATGTAATTTAAACAAATGGAAAGTTTCCTGTTACCCTCTTTCAGGTTCTGTGGCTCCCTAGATCTCTCTTTTGTTCTGGGAAAGTTTTGGAGAGCCTCAGGACATGCAGGGAGAAGCCCTTAATAGACAAGAAAGGCTACCGGGCTGCCAGCAAGAAACCCAGTCCCAGCGCCAGTTTTTACTGTCTTCTGCTACCTGCTGGATTCAAAGAAGAAGGAGATTTCATTGTTTCTGTTCATTTATTTTGTTTTATCTTTCTTTATCTACTTGCTTGCTTGGTTGGTTTTGGAGATAGGGCTGTGTGTGTTTTCCCCCATCTATAAACATTGTCTTTTAGTCAGTTTACTGTACATTTGTTCTGTTTAGGGTGCGTATATTGGTGGGGGCTTTTTGTATTGTTTTATTGTTTTGTGTGAGGTGTGTAGCCAATGGTATAGACTTGCCTTGCCTCTGATGTTTGGCAATAATTTTTATGGTTTCTTTAAGGCTTTTTTGGACTGGTGACCAAAAGCACAAAATGAGGAAACACAAAATGAAATTTCAAAGGAGGAGTTCTTTCCAGTGTAAAACACAAGAATAAAGGAGAGTCCTCCTGAAAGAACCTGAAATAAAAATATATAGAATGTTCACCATGCAGATCTCTATAAAACACATCAAAATATTGAACATTCTATATGAGTCTCCTTATACAGAACAATACTAAAGGATATAAAGAGCTGGGCATGCTTGTATGTGGGAAAAAGGAATGAGATTGCCACAGATATACTGTGAATAGAATCAGGATTCAAGGCAACATAATCAGATTGGAAAACTATGCCAAAACAAACAAAAATGAGTTTTAATGGGGAAAAATGTAAAGTTCCATATTAAGTCAGAAAAAAAAACCAGAATGTGACAACAGACTTGGCAGTACCAGTACATGTGAAAAATATCTAGGGGTCTTGGTAGACTACAAGCCAAACATGAGTCATATAGTGCTGTGTAGTGAGAAAATAAAAAATGCAGTACTTGGTTGCATCAAGAGAATTACAGTGGTGCCCCGCTAGACGCTTACCCCACATGACGTAGAAATCGCTTAACGATGATTGTGATCGCAAAACAATGGTTCCTATGAGGGGTTTTTTTTTCCGCTTGATGTACCACATGACGTCGAAATCACTTAACGATGATTGCGATCGCAAAACAATGGTTCCTATGAGGGTTTTTTTTTTTGCTTGACGTAGATTAGGTGCCTGCTTCGTGAGCCGTTTGGCTTCACGAACCGTTTGTTCACAAAACAATGTTTTTTCCGGCTCCGCAAAATGGTTTCCCTTTGCAAAATGGCTATTTTCCGGACCCCTGCTTTGAAAGACAGCGATTTTAAACAGCTGATCGACGGTTCTCTATGGGAAATCTTTGCTGGACGATGAGGTATTTCCTCATTGAAACACATTAACCGGTTTTCAATACATTCCAATGGGTTTTTTTCCTTGACGACGATTTCGCTTAACAGCGATTTTCCTGGAATGGATTATTGTTGTCAAGCGGGGCACCACTGTACAGTGTCCAGATCACAGAATGTAACAGTACCACCCTATTCTACTTTGGTTTGACCTTACCTGGTATGCTGTGTTGGGTTCTTGGGAGCACAGTGTAAGAAAGACATCAACAAGCCGAGATGTTTCAAAAGGAGGACAACCAGGATGGTAAAAGCTCCAGAAACCAAGCTATATGACGAACAGTTGAGGGAACAGGATATGTTTACCCTGGAGAAGAGAAGACTGAGAAGCAATATGATAATAGTCTTCAGTTATCTGAAGGTCTGTTACAGTTTGTCACCCGTAATTTCAGAGGATGGTAGCTGAAGGAATGGATTCAAGTAATGGATTCAAATTATGAGAAAAGAAATCTTACCTCAACATTAGGAAGGACCTCTTGACAGTGAGAACTGTTTGACAGTGAATGGACTGCCTCTTGGTGTGGTGGACTCTTCTTCATTGGAGATTTTTCCACATACATTAGATGGTCACCTGTGAAAGATGCAGGGACTGTGGATTTCCTGCTTGGGCAGGGGGCTGAACCTTATGAACCAGGGGATCACCTTCCACTCTACAGTTCTATGACTCTATGGCTAAAATCATGTTGCTTAGCATAGTAGGTCACAACTAGAATACACTCAGTGAATCTGTACAGATTTGTTGAGTTAATTCTTCTCTCACTTCCATTACTTCAATGGACCTACTCTTGTTATGACTTACTACACTAAAGAGAAGGATTTCAGCCTATGATTCTATTACATTCTAACATGTACAAATTGCCTTTCAGTATTTTCCATCCTATTAATCAGAAAGGGAACTGTCCAAACAATGAAAATTATTTTTCATCATAATGCTTCAGTACTACTTGTACACTCCAGTAGGATGCCCCTAGTACTCTTTGGTCATATTTTTGAACTGAAGTGATGTATGACATAAACTTCAATAAGAAGGAGCCCTTCAGCTGCAGCTATTTATATGATGATATGGCATGTTCAAAGAAGAACTTATTTTCAGAATTACTTTAAAAATGCTTCTTCTGTATTTATTGACATGAAATCTGGAGTGCAAGGGAGTTCTTTTGAAGCGTAATACAACATTATTTACTCAGTCAATGTGATTATCAAGTGGTCATACAAGACATTTTTTCATATTTTGTAGTAGGATTTCATCCCCTATTATATTTGTCACTGATACTTGAAGAGAATTACTCTTAAGGTAATGCAGTTCAAGTCTTCCCATGGCAAGGGAACTAGAGGCAAAGCCATACCTTCCTTGCATAAGAAAGATGTATGGATAAACTTGGAGTAATTCATGTTTTGTGCAGACAAAATAATAATATCCATAAGGCAAGTATCCTTCTGAATACATATGATAATTAAGTGGCATAGAACATTGGAGGTGGACTTAAAAAGAGGGGAATAGAATGGATTGGCTAGAATGGGAGAACTCAGACACATTTTTGTAGATACAAAGAACTGTCTCATTATCCAAACAGATTGCTTCCTGATTTAGCCAGGTCACCTAGGATCTATATATACCTAAGAGAAGAAGAGAGAGTTGCTCATAGACATGAATGGAGCAATCAAGGATAATAATTTGGCTGGAGGAAGACAAAGGTGCATCAGCCCTCCTACTGCAGAAACCCCAAATACAGCAGAAAATCTTGGAAGGAGGCCAATAAAAACAAAGCATTTTTTAAGATGAATGTTTATCTGTTTGTATTTTATTTAGCCATTTCCCACCATCTACCTTCAAAAAAGGATCTCTTCCGGCATCCAGCCTCCCGTCCATCACTGAAAGTGATGAAAACATAACTGAGATATATTCAGATTTGAATCCCATGAGCACAGAAGACAATTCTCAGGTTAAGACTTTATTCTGTGTATATTATTATTACGTTCTGTGCCCCCATTACCCAGCTGTACATTGGCAAGGTTATAAAAAATGAGCAGTTAACTCCTAAAAGGTCAGTTTAAACAAAATGCTTATAAACTCTTTCTCTTTGTGCATTAATGAATCAGAGGACCCTGTTTTATAGTCATGAGGACATGTACAGAATACTTGAAAACAGTTGTGTATGCCTTGTTGCTCACCAAGCCAAATGCAGCCAGCCAGCCATGCACTGTGGCCCTTTTAGTCTTGATGAGACCGTCTTTTTTGATTTTGATTTTTTCAAACCCACGAAGGCAATAAAAACAAGAGGCTTATCATGCTGAATGCCATGTAGGTTTTATGTGCAGTTAAACGAATGCCTTGACATTTTTAGTGATACAAGTACTTGTTCAATTACATGATAAGAAATCAGTCCTAGGTTGAGAGACATAGAAAAACATCAGATATGAGGGAAAATTCTAAATTTTTAAGCCATGTCTTTGTGAACCTTTTTAAAAACTTCCCATTACAACATCAGCAAAGTTCTAACTAAAGTTTTCCTCTCACTCTGTAGGAATCTACTTTGCCACCACAGCATACTGTTGAAGGATCCACTAAAGGTAATGATTATGATGTTTTGAAAATATAGGTATATTCATCCATTCAGTCTGTTCTTAAACTTTTACCTCATATCTAGCCTCAAGGTGGTAGCATTAAATTTAAAATGAAAAATACAGGGAGAGGCTCAAGCTATAAGAACAAAATTTAAAATGAAGTGAAATAATGATTCGAAAAGCAGATTATAAACATGGGCTAGTGGCTGAAATTAACTACATCAGCAATGGTCACTGGTGGTGAAAGGGTTTCACCTTCTCCATCACGCTCTGTGATCCAGAGGGTAGAGGGGACCCTTCACAGTGGATTTATGCTGCATGCAAAAGGTACAGAGAGGAGAGGGAGGGATAGGACTGGAGGTCTTTTCTGACCTTCCTTGAATCCCCTTAACGGGAGAAAGTTAGCCTATAAATAAGACAGATAAATGAAAGATGGCCTATAAACTAGATAGATAGATAGATAGATAGATAGATAGATAGATAGACAGACAGACAGACAGACAGACAGACAGACAGACAGACAGACAGACAGACAGACAGACAGACAGACAGAAAGAAAGAAAGAAAGAAAGAAAGAAAGAAAGAAAGAAAGCCCTGAAAAGGTCACCATAAGTCAGAATTCCGTTCTGCCTCCTATATTGTTTTGCAGATACACAAAGCCTCTGGGTCTGTAAGGGGTTTGTAGTTAGGAGCCATCAGTACATTATTAGAGTCAGTTGAGGTTGTGCAGGTGCTTGGTTACTCCTTGGATGCTGTAATGGGCATGCTGGATGAAGGCCAGTAAACTGTAGCTTAAACCTGCACGTAAGATATTTTGTGGACTAGTGGTTCCCCGGTCTGCCTGAGCATTAACTTCTGTCAAGGGAGCCCTCTATTGGAAGCATACCCCCAGTTAGCTGCCATAGCTGATCAGGGATTTGAACCCAGGCCTCTTGAGCGCTAGTCCGTCACTCTGTCCACTACACCACACTGACTATCTTCCATAGTTTTGTGTACAGAATTCCATCACATTATGGAAACCACCAATTCTACTAAAATATATTCTCAGATCAGCATGTACAAAAAATGCTCTTCTCAGTTAGGCCTATGAATCTCATAGCTTGTTACTGTCAAGAGAAACTGAGAGGTGAGGAATCAGTATTTTTCCCTGCAATGATATTCCTTTGTTCAAGAATTTTTTTTCCTAAGAAATCTCATGGACATTTCTGGAGGACTATCTCTTCTACTCTGTTTGTATTGAAGGGAAGAAGGGACTTGTTTACTTACTATTCTAATAACCATTAGTAATAATTTATAAGTATTCTATGAGCTTTTCTAAAAAATCAGGTAGGTCCGCATTGTATCTCTAAATCTAGAAGCCATCACGGACAAGTGCAATCTTCGTTAGGATTACAATAGATATATACAGTAATTGGCAAAACAGGAATGGGGCTGACCCAGGTCAAATAGACTGGTGTGTTTTAAAGACAGAAATGAAGAATTCTGTGGTAACTTGTTCTTGTCACAGCAATGGTACCAGGTGTGCCAAGGAAAGTGTCCAGCAGTGGGTAAATGAATGGACACCACCTAAGATTCTGTAGGGAAAGTACCACTATAGAGTAATTTTCTGTAGCAGTTACCACAATAAAAGGCATAGGAGTGTAGAAGGCCAGATCTTAAGAGAATAATTCTACCTGAGTGAGTGATCAACAAAATGAGCAGCAGACCACAATTAGAATGTGAAACTTGTAGCATATCTTGATTATTGGTTTGTAATTCAAAAGTAATTATATTAACACATAGCAGATTCTCAGATTCTTTGGATCTGGAGTTGCAAATTATACTGGAATTCCCAATTTCAACCTCGTCAAGCATCCCCAAATATAATACATGCAGAACTGGAATTAGGCATACAGAACAGATTGCTTTGCCATATGCTATGTAGGGCAATTTCAAACGTGAGTATTGGCATTCTTGTAATCTGTGACTTCTCTAGCAAAGAATAACTAATAGGAGAAAATATCCATTTGTCAGGAAAGTTCAGTGCTGGCCTACAGAGACCTCTGGAGGTGAAAATGTAGACTGTGGCTTTTGCCTTATTAGATTTAATGTTCACAATCATTCCACCATCTTAATTTCATTTATGTCATAGGTTGGCCTTCTGAATAAGGTTTAACAGAAAGTTTAATCTTTTAAAAGTCTTAAAAACATTCTCCAAGGAACAAGAACTGGTTTTAGATTTGGATGGCAGAGAAACAGATACATTAAAAAAGTTGAGCATTTGAGAAGGCAGTTGTCCACCAAAGACAGCTTCATTAGGTAATAAATGCTCATGTAGTCCATCAGTGACATTTTTATCAGTAATACAGGGGTAACTTTAAATCACCCCTCCCATCTGATATGGCTTGTCCATTATTGTTTTATTTCCTGTAATATGGACATTATTTGCTTGTCATTGCAGCCAAACGTTGCAATAGCTTTTTTGCTTTGTACTCTGACTATATTTCATCATGTTTTGCTATTTATGACATTGTAAGCCTTGCTAAACGTGCATTTTGCTGGTTGCAAGGTTCTATGGCTGGATATAAGTTAACCACAAAGAACACTTCTGACCGTCTTTACCTACAAAGAAGCTGGTTTTGCAACTTACATTGTTTCACAGTATTTAGAGAAAATTTAGGCTCTTACAGGTACAGAGATGATAGGTGTTTCATTTGCTTTGTCATGTCAGGGTATTAATTCAGGGTAATTAAGCCTTTGCCCTGTTTATGTTTTGAAATTTATCCACCAAAATATTTTCTCTTTCCCTCTACCAGAATCATTGTGAGGAAGTCTGTGCATTTTTTCCCTGTGCAGGTGAATCAACTGAAAAAATAACTAGTGAAGCAGCCCAGATGCCAGAATCAGCAGAACCAGCTCTCAGCAGTCAAGTAGTAAACAAATCTCTGGAAGAAATTGAGGCAGAAAAAACCCCAATTTCTAAGGAAATATGGATGGACTATGAAGATTTTTGTGTTTGTTTTCAGTAAGAAGTGTTGTAGTAGTAGTTGGAAGGTCTATGTCTCTAGAAATAATTTCATTATTGTGCTAAAATATTCAGAACAAGTTAGTTCTCACTGAAAACTATTTAGACATTATTCAGGAGTAACTAAGATCCCATCAGTTTCAACTGAACGTGCGTGGCTAACTGCTATCTTAGTAAGCTCGGTCCCTGCAGGCTCTATTTCCTTTCAAACCCACAGTAGTTCTTTCTGATGATTTTATCCTTCTTTGTCATATATGTGAAGAGGCATGTCAATGTTGTCACGTGGGTGTCTTTCTTAAATGTAACACCTCTTCAGGTCAAAGGACTTCTTGTGCTATTCCCCTGAACACATTGTCTATCTATTCTATCTTTCCATACTTTTTTTGGTTAAAAAAAAGCAGTGATGGGAAGCAGTAGTAGGAAAGCACAGACTTTACAGAGTGAAGGCTTTATCATCCAGACTGCCCTACAAAATTCCATAAGAAAAGTGAGGTGATTTCATAATTATAATCTCTCATGGGAGCATATAAAATCATTATGCCAAAATATGAATATGCAATTTCTTATTAAGTGTGGTTTGCTTGATTCCAGCCAATTAAAACAATATTTTTCATTTGGTTTAACCTTTGGGGAAATATCAGTTTCTCTTACATAGAATTACAGTATGGCATATATCAAGTCACATTTTTTTACATGTTGAATGGGGAATGGCCCCTCAAGATACCTAACGCTTACATTGAAGCAGTTTGCTTTAGAGCCCTTCTGGCTATCTGATGTTGTGGGTGGCTGCTAAAGGAAACAAGACTACAAATGTGTGGTATCCAGAGATATACAGTGGTGCCCTGCTTAAGAATTACCCCATTTAAGGATGAAATCGCTTCACAATGTGTTTTTTGCGATCGTAAAATGATGATTGATTGGGGTTTTTTTCGTTTCACGATGATCAGTTCCCTGCTTCGGGAACCGATTTTTCGCTTTACGACGATCAGCAAGCAGTTTCAGCCACCCGCTGATTTTTCGCTTTACGACGATCAGCAAGCAGTTTCAGAATGGCCACCCGCTGTTCAAAATGGCTCCCCGCTGTACTTAGAACGGATTCCTCATATTACAGACACCAGAAAATGGCCGCCTTATGGAGGATCTTCGCTGGACGCTGAGGTATTTCACCCACTGGAACACACTGAGCGGATTTCAATCTGTTTCAATGGCCTTTTTACTTTCACTTGACGACGATTTCGTTCTACAGCAATTTCACTGGAACGGATTAACGTCAAGTGAGGCACCACTGTATTTGGAAGGAGTTGAGTGGATATTGCAAAGACACAGGCAGTTTAATACTTGAGCAGACGCACCTTCAGGCCTGCAGGTTGAGGAATACTTGTGCCTTTATGGCCCAACAGTTGGGTCATTACTACAGCTACCTCTGTGAAGTCCAATGCAGAGGGGTCACTGGGAATAGGGAATTGTGCTGAGGATATTGCACAATGGGCTTGAACAATAAACTTGAACTTCCTGCAGAAGGGGAATTGTAAGTTCCCTACAAAAAGTAAGTTTGTCTCACATAATTCAGACTCTAAAGCCTAAATCATTTGCAAAGAACTGGATATATTTTACTCACTCACTTTCTAGGCAATGAGACATTTAACCCTTTGGGTCAAATAAATAATGACAAACAATGAAAGTAATAGCAGTATGTGGACCGAGAACTCCCAGAAGTACAAGCTGCATTTCGAAGGGGCAGAGGAACTAGGGACCAAATTGTTAATATGTGGTGGATTATGGAGAAAGCCAGACAGTTCCCGAAAAATATCTACTTCTGCTTCATTGACTATGCAAATCCTTTGACTGTGTGGACCACAGCAAACTATGGCAAGTCTTTAAAGCAATGGGACTGCCTGATCACCTTATCTACCTCCTGAGAAACCTATATGTGGGACAGGAAGCAACAGTTAGAACTGGATATGGAAACACTGATTGGTTCAAAATTGGGAAAGGAGTACGACAAGGCTGTATATTGTCCCCCGGCTTATTTAACTTATATGCAGAATACATCATGCGAAAGGCCGGACTGGAGGAATCCCAAACCGGAATTAATATTGCCGGAAGAATTATCAGCAACCTCCAATATGCAGATGATACTACTCTGATGGCAGAAAGTGAGGAGGAATTAAGGAACCTTGTAATGAGGGTGAAAGAGGAGAGTGCAAAAAACGGTCTGAAGCTCAACATCAAAAAAACTAAGATCATGGCCACTGGTCCCATCACCTCCTGGTGAATAGAAGGGGAAGACATGGAGGCAGTGACAGATTTCACTTTCTTGGACTCCATGATCACTGCAGATGGTAACAGCAGCTCTGAAATTAAAAGATGCCTGCTTCTTGGGAGGAAAGCGATGACAAACCTCAATAGCATCTTTAGAAACAGAGACATCGTCTTGCCAACAAAAGTCCGAATAGTCAAAGCTCTGGTTTTCTCTGTAGTGGTGTACAGAAATGAGAGCTGAACCATAAAGAAAGCTGACCGCCGAAGAATTGATGCCTTTGAATTGTGGTGCTGGGGGAGACTCTTGCGAGTCCCCTGCATTGCAAAGAGAACAAACCTATCCATTCTAAAAGAAATCAACCTTGAGTGTTCCCTGGAAGGACAGATCCTGAAGCTGAGGCTCCAATACTTTGGCCCTCTGATGAGAAGAGAAGACTTTCTGGAAAAAACACTGATGTTGGGAAAGTGTGAAGGCAAGAGGAGAAGGGGACGGCAGAGGATGAGATGGTTGGACAGTGTCATCGAAGCGACCAATATGAATTTAAGCCAACTCCGGGAGGCAGTGGAAGACAGGAGAGCCTGGTGTGCTCTGGTCCATGGGGTCACGAAGAGTCGGACACGACTAAACGACTAAACAACAACAAAAATAAAATAAATTATTTGGCACCTGAAAGACTGACAGATTTGTTTCACTGTGACCTTTCATGGATTCTCAGACACATGAAGTGAAATACTTAGGCATAGGTTTATATACAAGTAGTCATTGTTGAGATAGAGACCTAGTGAAAAGGGATACAGGAATAGAAGATTAAATTTCAAAGTGATGATTTGATTGATCATTTAAAATTGGATGTTACTATGATAAAGAAACCAGGGGAAAACGCTGTCATATAGGCAGTCACATTGACTTTGGATGCATATACAGTGGTGCCCCGCTAGACGCTTATTCCGCTAAATGATGAAATTGCTTGACGATGACTTTTTTGTGATCACAAAACAATGTTTCCTATGGGGGATTTTCACTTTACGTTGATTAGGTCCTTGCTTCGCGAACCGTTTGTTTGCAAAACGATGATTTTTCTGGCTCCGCAAAATGGCTTCCCTTCGCAAAATGGCTTCCCTCCCTTCACAAAATGGCTGTTTTCCGGACAGAAGTTTCGCAAAACAGCGATTATAAACAGCTGATTGGTGGTTCTTTATGGGCGATCTTCACTGGACGATGAGGTATTTCCCCATTGGAACGCATTAACCGGTTTTCAATGCATTCCAATGGTTTTTTTTTAAATGACAACGATTTTGCTGTACAGTGATTTTAATGGAACAGATTATCGTCGTCATGCGGGGCACCACTGTATTCACACAAGGTAAAGTATACTCTGTGCCCTTCTCGGCATACTAGCATAGGTGCACTGCAATACTGTTATTTTCTTTTGATCTTCATAGAATCTAAGCAGCCAGCCACAACTTCAGAAGTTATACGAATTTTCCCTATTCCAAATAAGGATACAGTTTCTTAGCTTCATGAGCTGATGGTGACAAAATGTTTATTTAAATAACTACTGCAAATCATGGTTTTGTACCAAGATAACATTCTTACAACTTCAGACTAAATGCAATTTTTAAAGAAACTCTGCATGCAAAACAATTCTCATTATGTTACCTTTATACTGATTTTTATTAAAGCTGAAAAGAGAAAAAAATACTGCAAACCAAATACTGTAATATAAAATATGCTTGCTAACACCATAAATGGAGTATAGATGTTTAGGACGAAAACAAAGTACAGTAGTTAACTGTTGTCAGTAGAAGACTAAATAATTGTTAGTAGTTATTAGTGAATACAGTTTAGTCATATTTTTCACTTCTGAAGCTAGAAAACAATTAGTACTTCTACTGTTAATAGCAGTAGCAGTAAAAATCAAATATGGAAAGCTGTTCATTAAATATGGAAGGCGTATATGTTTCAGTATTCTTTAATTTAAAAAGGGATGACTCAGCATGCAGGAGAAATTTCTCTAAATTTAATGCTAACATTATCATTCTCACTTTTTTAAGGAACCTGTACGTTTTCCACAAACCAAATACTTATGCCTACTCCTATCAGAAGTCAGATTTTAGAGTAAGTGAATTTGCTGCAAGATTTATTACTCTCTTCATGAATTGTAAGGGCATAATACATTGGCTGAAATCTTTTTGCTTCATTATGCATGTAGAAGGAAATGTTACTTCTTGCTAGCAATTGACAAATTACTAATCAGATTCTGGCCATGTGCACATCTGCTGGCTTAGCACCTGCTTGAGAACCCAATGGGGACTAATTAATTGGCAGCTGGAAGTGACTGGATGGTATGCTTTTTACCTTCCTCCTGCAACAGGATTTCAGCCTCTCAGTGTTGCAGGATTTGTTGTCCATTGAAACATTACTATTAGGGAGCTGCTGCTATAGGAAGAATTAGTATGAAAACTGAAAACAAACTAAATGTCATATATATATGTATGTATGTATATGTAGATGTATATATGTATATATGTATGGAAAGCTCTGAATTTGGTAAATCAGAATTATGTTCTAGAGTTGATAAACAATTCAACCCATGTTCCGCATTTATTTCAGATTTGGGTTAAATTAGAAGATTTAATTTTAATTTGCAAGAACATATGTCATAGTGGTTTAACTGGATCCAAAGAATAAATTCATCAGTGTTGAAATGATAATCAAGAAAATTAACCTTTTTGTGATTTGATTAAAAGAAAATATGATGAATATGGAAAAGTAACTCATATCTTTGATTAAAGGGCAAAGAGACCGTTCATTGTCCATTTTTTCTATACCTTGAAGTATAGAGTTTGAAATATAACTTACATGATTTCAAAGGCTAGTTTCTTCAATATTAGATATAAAAATTAAGCAGTAATGTTCTTTCTCTTTATAGATGCTAGATGATCGTGTCTTATATTATTTATGTGTGGATAGTTTGAAGCCTACTGATATCCTGGTTAACTTTTCTGCATTAGTACACTGGGGAGATATAGGAGGTAAGATCAGAAAAATGGGGGAGAGGGGAGTTAATGTTGATTCTCTCCAGCTTCTTCCAAGAAGTGCTGAATCATAAAGTGCAAAGATAAGCAGAGGATTGAGTTATTTGCAGGAAACTGAAGGATTTCGTACTCTCAGTTATTCAATAACAGCAGCAACAAATCCTAGCCGTTACTAATCTAGAGAGAGAAATAAACCATTATTACTAATCTAGAGAGAGAATTAGAGAGAGAGAAAACACCTGATAATCAGGATTGGATTTTGGTGGGAACAAAGATTGTCCATCTGTAAGGCAATATAAGGCCAAGTTGTTTGTTTTGTTTTTAAATTAATATGTAATTTCGAATCCACGCAACAGAGTGAGTTTGCTTGTCCCAGCTCCTGCCAACCTAGTAGTTCGAAAGATTGTAAAAATGCAAGTAGATAAATAGGTACCACCACAGTGGGAAGGTAATGGTGTCTAGTCGCTCTGGCCACATGACCACGGAAACTCTACAGACAAACACCGGCTCTATGGCTTGGAAACAGGGATAAGCACTGTCCCCTAGAGTCGGATACGACTGGACTAAATGTCAGGGGGAACCTTTACCTTTTAATTTAGCCCTCAATGTACTTTTTTTTTTGCACCTAACTCTAGCTGGTGAAATCTCAAAGAGTGCAGCTTAAAAAAAAAATTCTAGCCTGAAGTCTCTGCATTAGAATTGTAGTATTATGTGTTTTCTCATAATACTTTAGAATTGTAGTATTATGTGTTTTCTCATATACACTGACAAATTGTTTGTTTTACCAAGAATAACTGAGATAAAATGAATTCCTAATTTAATAGTATTAAACCTAGAGTATTTATTAAAACTGAGCTTCATAATCTGTGGCATAGGTACTAAAGATAGAATTAAAATTAGTTTATTTGCTGATGATAATTTGTTAACGATAAAAAACCCATTAATGCTTATAGACAGGGTAAAATCACAGTTAAAACAATTTGGAGAGATAATGGTTACAGATAAGTTGTAATAAATCAAAGATAATGATGTTTAATTATAATAAAGATCAAAATATAATTAGAAAAATGATATTAATATTCAGAAGTCTATTAAGTACTTAGCTATAAGTGTTCCAATTAATTTAAAAAAACCAAAGGAGGGAAATTTTTAAAAATTGAAGCTAAAAATAAAAAAAATAACAGGATTTTAGGAAAATTGGACTTTTGTGGTTGAATGAACTTTATTGCAGTAGAAAACCATAAGAATTCATTTAGCACAGTTACAGGATAATACCCTGATAACATAAGGAGGTATCTACATATAATCCAAAATTCAAAGTTTAAGATTTAATTTAGAATTTAAACCTTCTAATTAACTCATCTTCCATGTCCCATACTTAGGTTCTGTGTGCTCTTAACATTTTCCTTCTCAGTCCCTTCACTACTATAGCCTTCCTTCATTTTGAAGGAATTTAAAAATAACTGAGATGGGTAGCTAAACTACCCATAAAAATAAGCAAGCTCTAATTCAAGCATGACTGGAAAGAAACAGCATCATAGACACTTAGCAAAGTATATGAAGGTAAACTGAGTGCCAGAAAAACGGACAAGTTCTAAAAGTTAGTTAATATATCATTAGATATATCTGATGGTAATATATCATCAGAAACCTGCCCTTCATTTGAAATCCAGCATAATGAATGAGATTGTAAAGCCTAAAGGTGTCTTTGGCAAAAGGTAAAAGAGATATTCCTGGTCATATGCAGAACTAAGAGTGTTTTTGCAGGAACTAAAATCGTTTCCTTATGTGTATGTATGCACCTAGACACATAACACACACCTATATTTGCACGCCTCTATATTTATGAACTTTTGTTCCGAATTATGGTCTTTTAATACCCTAGTAAGAGTATGTTTACATAATGGCAAAATTAGTTATTTTGCTGACTGAAAATTTAAGGGTTGAGTCTTTCTCGCTTCCACTGAATAGAGAGCAGTTGTGACATATGTGAAGACATTCTGTTATGATTTGGTGGTCAAAAAGATGTAATCTGTATGCTTTTTTTAAACAGCAGTTGCACAGAAAGAAGGTCATTTTTTGCCGAAGGGATTACTTACCGTTGAAAGTTTCTCTTGGAAGAATCTGGCTCCAGGACAATTAATCCTAAAGATTCATACATATGCTGCTAAAGCTGCTGTGATAAGTCTTCCTGCTGGGTACGCGCTAGTCAGCTACACCTTTCCAACTTTGTAGTTAAAAAAAATTAACCCTTTGGATTTGTACTGTACTTGGAAATGTCCAAAGCACGTTACCTACATTATTTCATAATTCTTGTAGCAAGATTTTTAATTAAGTTGGTGCATTTTTCTGATATTGTTGAATCTGGGGCTTAGAAATCAGAGTTTTGTCTAGAGCATCCTTATGAGTTTATGGCAGAGATTTAGAAATAATATGAAATAATTCCCAGGTCAGTCTCTAACTGATGTTTGTTTTTATTCTGGAAATAATTCTTTGTGGCTGCAATAGTCCAATAGTAAGGCACAGCTTGAGTACGACTTTTGAATCAATGGAACTTACAGTGTAGCTCATTAAATCCTCACTGATTCAATCAGCCTACAGTGGGGTCTCTACTTAAGAACTTAATCCGTACTGGAAGGTGGTTCTCAACACAGCTTGAGTACGACTTTTGAATCAATGGAACTTACAGTGTAGCTCATTAAATCCTCACTGATTTAATCAGCCTACTTTAATTGTGACCTATTAATTCAGTTTTTATGTTGCATAGACCCTGTCCTTTTATATGTACAGGACTGAAGTCTCAGGCACAATTCTTCACTAGATCTCTACAGTAATAGTTACAATACCAGTGCATAATAGGCCTGTGTTATTCTCATATCGTAGATATCTGAGGCATGGCTAAGAAAACAGCAGCTTACCTAACTCATAAAAGACTACTAGTGATGTAGTCAGCTACACCTTTCCAACTTTGTAGTTAAAAAAAATTAACCCTTTGGATTTGTACTATACTTGGAAATGTCCAAAGCACATTACCTACATTATTTCATAATTCCTGTAAAAAAATTTTTAATTAAGTTGGTGCATTTTTCTGATATTGTTGAATCTGGGGCTTAGAAATCAGAGTTTTGTCTAGAGCATCCTTATGAGTTTATGGCAGAGATTTAGAAATAATATGAAATAATTCCCAGGTCAGTCTCTAACTGATGTTTGTTTTTATTCTGGAAATAATTCTTTGTGGCTGCAATAGTCCAATAGTAAGGCACAGCTTGAGTACGACTTTTGAATCAATGGAACTTACAGTGTAGCTCATTAAATCCTCACTGATTTAATCAGCCTACTTTAATTGTGACCTATTAATTCAGTTTTTATGTTGCATAGACCCTGTCCTTTTATATGTACAGGACTGAAGTCTCAGGCACAATTCTTCACTAGATCTCTACAGTAATAGTTACAATACCAGTGCATCATACCATTGTGCAGCAACCAGAAGATGACATGACAGTATTTGAATAAATGTAGATTGTTATACACGAAAAAATAAAACATCCCCTGAAAATAAGTTCTAATGCATTTTTGGAGCAAAAATTAATATAAGACCCTGTCTTATTTTCAGGGAAACACAGTACTGTACTAGATAATATCAATTGGCACATCATTGGAAGAGGAGCTTCCATAAGAAGTGAAGGATGTCTGTTTATTCTAGCATGTGTTTTTGTCACCTCTTCATTTCTGAGAACTACAAATTAATTTACTTTTGGTCATCAGGTGAACACAGGCTTATCATATTTTTCCGTGTATAAGATGCCCCCATGCATAAGACGCCCCCCACTTTTCTAACCCAAAATTTCTTTCTTTGCAAGAAAGTGAAAGGAGAAAGTGATTCTTGCTTTACCCCTACATTTTCATTGCAAAAAGCAGCTTTCCCTCTCCATGTTTTGCAAAGAAAATTGAGAGAAATAGCAATTACTGCTTTCCCCCCACATTTTCGTTGCAAACATTTCACAATGTATGCCTTAGCATTTTCTTGCATATAGCTTATTTCAGTCTACAGACATCTGTATTCAATCAGATAGTCTTTCCAACTGAAATCCTCTTACTTAGCATATTAAGTTGCACTAGAGTAGACACATTGAATCAGTGGGTATTTGGCACATTTTGATTCAAATGGCCCTACTCAAGTTGTGACTTTTTACACTAAAATAACAACTAGAGCCAATTTGAAGAATGGAATGTATAGAAGATATGGTTCATCATATCCCCATTATCCTCATTATCTCAGATGTTTTGATATCAATGCAACAGTACCCATGGAATAAATGAGATGATTTTACTTACATGTTTAGAATTGCTGCTATATTTTACTTATTTGGCTCATCAGTGTGCTTATTTTTTAAATGTAGGCGCCATGTGTTGCTCTTCACTGTAAGCTCCCCCATAGGGCACCATATCCATCTGTGTAGTATGGTACCATGTGTGTTTGGTGAAGAGGATATTGTTCTTCCAAACCTTGAGAAGGTATTTGTTACCATAGCAACTAGACCCATTTCCCCATTGATTATTATTAACTTTAGAGAGCTAACTTCTTTCTGAATCTGTGTGTTTGGCTCCTAAATTCAATTCTATATTAAGAAAAGATATACTGTACATGCATGCTATTTATACATATACACATTTATACTGTTGCAGAATAGAAACGTTGGCCCATGTCATTTATATTAAAATTAAGTAGTGGAATATTTTCTCAATTTTCAAACACTGAGGTGATAAAGGATACAATAAATGTTTATCTGGCAAAAGTACAGGGGCATAGATGGAGTTGACCTAGAAAACATGGTTTCTTCCACTTGTCTTTGTCATGAATTAGATTTCTCGGTTCAGTTTTCAAATGTATAACTTGTATGTATGATTCTATACTTTCAAAGGTATAGAATCTCAGGAGGGAGTGGCAGCCAAAGTTAGTATCTTTGAAAATGATTAAATGCTTGGGAAACCAGTTATTCTGTTTAATGAAACAAACAACATAAATTCATAAATTTGACTTTGTTGTTGTTGTAGGTGGTGATGGTGGTGGTGGTGGTGTGTGGGTGTGGGTGTGCGTGCGTGCATGCATGCGTGTGTGTGCTCATGTGTATGGGATTAAATAATACATTTCACCTTGATAATTTTAAAAAAACAGATAGTGGTTTTATTTGGGAAAGGGTGAAAACCAAAGGACCATAATCTGTTCATTTCATTTAGTCTGTGCAAATATGTTTGACCAATAGCAGTTATGTATGAGTTACCGTATTTTTTGCTCCATAAGACACACTTTTTCCCCAGAAAAAAGTGGGGGGGGGGAAGTCTGTGCATCTTATGGAGCGAAGGCGGCGATTTCACCCCCACTGGCCCCGTGGGGGGGGAGCATCGCAAGGGTCCGAGTGAGCCTTCCAGGACCCTTGCGGCGCTCCCCCACCCCCCACGGGGCCAGCTCGGACGATCGCCAGCTTCCAGGTGGGGGGAGCGTCACAAGGGTCCTGGAAGGCTCACTCGGACCCTTGCAATGCTCCCCCACCCCCACGGGGCAAGCACGGGTGAAATCGCCAGCTTCTAGGACCTTTTCTTCTAAAAGTCCCGCGTGCCTGTTCCCACTTTTATATCCTCTTCCCATACCTCGATCATTTGCTCCTCCTCCTTTCCCTTCCCTTCTTCAGTAAAAACAGACCTCTATCTTAACCCTTTCTTTGTCACCCCTTGGCCTTAACACCTCCCTCTCCCTTTCCTTGCCCTTTACATCCTTGTTGTCTGGAAGAGACGGTGCACTCTCGTCCTCGTGGCCTTCACAAGTACCTTCC